GCTGCTGGCTTTCTGAAGGGATGCTATACAACAGCGGCACGATATGACACAACTTACTTCTCTGTTCTCTTCCGGGTCACTGTACGATACTGTATGGGATATCATGGCATAATGTGACTTGGTCTCCACCCTTTCTCTCGGCTGTCATACGGTATTTTCCATGAATGGTGACATGACAGAGGTCTGTGCCCCCACTGGTGTCATATGTGGCATGGGGCCATGATGAACCTCAGGTCTTCACTGTTTCCCAGCTGTCACAGGACATCATGTTACACGGCAGGCACACAGATGCTGCACCTCCCTTTTATTTGCTCATAGATTTGGAGATTCCACCTAAGACTGGGTCCACCTATTGCTTTGGGAATTTGATTGAGACTCCAAGTGACGAAGGCAGGAGGTATACAGAAGAACAAGCTGTTGCCCTAATTACCAGAAAACAAAAGAGAAGAGGCCAGGGTCTCACAGTCCCCTTCTAGGGAAAATCCCTGATGACCTAAGAATCTCCCACAGGGCCCCACTTCCAGGGAACTAAGACTTTAATACATGGACTTTGGGGGACATTTGGGGGACATTTAATACCTAAACCACAGGGAAGGCCAACAGTTTTTCTTGAACAGGTTCAGGGATTGTTCCCTGAGCATCAGCTCACACAGTTTCTATGCAGGTTCATTCTGTGTGTCAGCATGATTATGTCTTAGGGCGCTCAGATTAAACACTATTAGGTGTGTCTGTTAGTGTGTATTGTTTTGTCTTCAGTTGCTATACCCAAGGCAAAGAGGTTTATTTGGTTCACAGTTTTGGAGGCTCAGAGTCCAAGATTGGATGGGCCCATCCACTCAGCCACTTGTAAGACTTCATGGTGAATTATACTGTGGCAGGAGCACCTCCAAGAAGCAGGAGAGGGCCACTGGGTCCAGTCTTGCTCTTTTACATCAACTCACTCATGAAAATGAACTCACACCACAGACCAGTACCTTCAATGACTTAATAATCCCCCACTGGTAGCTACTTCCTCAAGGTTCTACCTACCATGTCCCACATCACCACACTGAGAACCAGGCCTCCAACATATGAACCCTTGGGGGACACATTCAAACCATTTCCCTGCTACAGCAGAGGGTGTCTGCACATGACAATAGTTTTTGTTTTTGTTTTTTTTTTAAATCTTTTTGAGACAGGGTCTTGCTATGTAGTTCAGGCTGGGCTTGAGCTCACTTTTTAGCCTAGGCTGGCCTTGAACTTGCAACGATCCTCCTGCCTCAGCCTCCCGAGCTGGGACTACAGGTGTGTGCCACCATGCCTGGCTTCCTTTCCTGTTTTACCTGTAGGTCACTTCCCTTGGCCTGTGTTCCATCTTCCATTCTGGGAATTTATTGGCCAGTAGATAAAGAGTTTCCCAAAAGCTATGTCTAGAGCCAACAGAATCTTAATCGCCCCTAACAGTCTGGTGGTGCCAACTGGACAAACTGGTCAGTGTGCCTAAAGTGACTACTATTAATGGACTGAACTGCCCCCCACATTCATATGTTGAAGTCCTAATGCCAAGTACCTCAGAATATGACTTGGGGTGTCGTTGAGACAGGGTCTTGCTATGCAGTTGAGGCTGGCTTCCAACTCAGTCATTCTCCTGCCTCAGCCTCCCAAGAACTGGGATTACAGGTGTGCACCACCATCCCAGCTGAAGATAGGTTCTTTATAGAGGTAATTAAATTAAAATAAAATCATTAGGATGGGTCCTAATCCCACCCTGTAATTGTTGTCCTTATACTCAGAGGATGACCTTGTGAAGACAGAAAAGATGGCTATCTACATGTCAAGGAGATGCCTCAGAAGAAACCAACCCTAGGATACCTTGATCTTGGATTTCCAGTATCCGGAAGTGTGAGAAAATTAATATTTCCATTAAGATGCTCAGTCTGTGGTATGCTGATATAGTGGCCTGAACAGACTAATACAGTGACCAGCTCATCATCTGGGTGTTTTCCTTTAGGAACCTTGGCTAGGAGCTGGGCATACTGACACTACTGGTAGTCCCAGCTATTCAGGAAGCTGAGGTAGGACCATCACAAGTTCCAACTAAGCCTGGGAACTATTAAGCAAGACCCTGTATCAAAATAAGAAACAATAATAAAAGAGGCTAGGGATGCAGTTTAATGGTAACAGCACTTGTCTAGCATGAGGGAAATCCTAGGTTCAATCCTCAGTACCACAAAAATAAGTGAATGAATAAACCCAGGCTGGGGTTGTAGCGGCCCTGGCATGATACAGCTGCTCCTCCTATGGTCAATGCGCTCTTATCAGAGATTAGAAACCCATCTGATGAGGTCAGTGTCCCACTGTAGGTGTGAAGATCCTTTGCAACAGGCCCTGGCTGGTCTTTATAAGGCTTTCGACTATGCTCATGTCCTTGGCATAGCAGTCATGACCAGGCTGGCTTGGAGCATGGGGTTCATCATCAGGCAACCAAGTGACATCCACTCTTCATCCAGCACACGGTAGAGCTCACCAGCCAGAGGACCAGCCCTCAAGTCTCAAAGCCCTTTCCCAAGCCCATCTAAATCTTCTCTCCTGCTGGCTCTAAGTGTGGGGCTCAAAAAATCTCTATATGACTAACTGTGCCTGCTCCAGTACTGATTCACCTTTATCACTCTGTGAGGAGAAACCTCATTTTCCCAGGGTGCAGAGAGTGAATAGCAGTCATGGAAGACATTTCTCAGCTTCATGGGGTCCTCCCTGCTTTACCCAGCTCATCCATGTGGCTCTCTAGAGAGGGGGGTTCTCTGGGACAACAGTAAGGGTCCACCTGGCCCCTTGTCACCAAACGTGTAACTAGGTCCACAGTCACCTCCGGGGTCCTATTCTGGCCCAGCTAGTTTTCCAGCAGGGTTTCACTTTTCCTTTGTCCATACCATCTAAGATGTGCCCAGGGGCCCATGCAGACACAGTCTTCTAAGAGGACACTGTTCCTCTGTGGGTAAGTCCTCAGCTTCCTGTGGTCCTTAGCCCACATACCAAAAGGAAAAAAAGGGGCTGAACAGTGTGTCAGGGGATGCTGTGGATTAGGAGCTCATCTGAGAGGCAACAGAGTGGCTTCACCTCAGCACTTGAAGCTCTGTTCTGAAGGACCAAGGCAGGGAATCGGGGAGGTGGATGATGGGAAATTGTCTCAGGAGACAGGCACAGTGAGAGTTAGTAAAGACCTTGCCCCAAGGGCTCACAGTGAATGGGCCCTTGGGGCAGCCTGGTGTTCTGGGCAGAGCAGCCATCTAACCAAGACCTGGATCAGCTGTGAGTCACACCTTCTGCCTGGCCGATACATCCTGCTTGGCTGGGGGAGCTGCTTCAGGTCAGATAAGGTGATGGCAGAGGGCCTTCCTGCACTAGCAGCCGAGCAAGGATGAAAGCAGGTGTCCAAAGTCAGGCCTGACCCTCTCCTGCTGCTGTTCATGGTCCCCATTTGCTCAGCTGACCCAGAACCCCAGAGGGACTAGTGGTGAAGCTCCCTAGTAGCCACAACCCAAATCCTATTGCACAGCAATACATATACATACTGTACCTGTCCTGGGCTACATGTCCTGGGCTTTGAAGACACACATTCTACTAAGCTCTTTTTTTTTTTTTAAAGAGATTACAGGTGAAAGATGGTCCCAGACTGAACGTCCTCAGTCAGACGCCCTCATCCAGCTGGTGGTCACACTCCTACCGCCCCCACCCTGAGGCCCAGCACCAGCTGGTCTCTCCAGCCAAGCCACTCACTGCAGGCATGGCTCTCACAAACTTGTCTCACTTCCATCCCTGGGTTTGGCCCTCCCTACCTTCCCCAAGACACAGTGGGAGAGGGGGTACCAACCATGACCAGGGATGAAGAAGCAGATCCTGGAGAAAACTGGAGGCCATCTGGGGACTTCACTGTGACCCTAGAAGGCTGGGGAACCCTCACTTCCATCCCTCAATGCCCCTTAGTCCAAACAAGGCCGTATCGCAAAGCCCTTCAACACCCCAGCCCCGCAGCTTGCGTGCCTTGTGAGACCCAGGTCTGATACAAATCTGACGCAGTCTGTGGCTTCAAACCTTTCAGAGCTCTCTACTGCTCTCAGGACAAGACCCTAGGAGCCTTCCTAAAGCACAGCCTCTTACCACTCTCTCAACCTCTCAGCCCATCCAGCTGGCCCTACTATTGGGAGGGCTTTTACAAGTGCCATTCTTCTCATCAGAAGCTCTCCCACGGACGGCTGCTTTGGCACCTGTCAGCTGGGACCCTCGGTGGCCAGGGCAGCGGCCAGTAGCACAGTAGCTGCGAGGAGTGCAGTCCGTGTTCAGGCTGGGGGTGGGCGGCACTGGGCGATCACGGGAGCTTCAGGTCGAGACTCAAGTCTCCCACTGTCGTGGTCCGATAGTTCGAACGTCTTGTAGAGTATATATATATATGTGTGTGTGTGTGTACCGGGAATCGAACCCACGACCTTGCGCTTGCCAGGCAGGCGCTGTGCCGCTGAGCTAAATCCCCAGCCCCTCAAACGTCTTTTATCAGTCTTAACCCAAGCCCGGGGTGAGAGATGAAGACAGACCTCAGGTTCATTTACTGTTTGGCTTCAGGTGGTGCACGAGGCCAAAATGCCCGGGTCTGTGGCCCTGGACCTCCTCCGTGGAACTGCGGATGGAGAAAGCAACAGTGCACGCGTTCCGCAGGCGGGGACTGGGCCTTAGTCTGCGGGCTCTGCTAGAGCACGGAAGTAACAACTTTCCGCGATGGAGCTCCGCCTCTAAAATCTCGAGGACCAAGAGGCAGGACTACAGATGGGGCAGGGCGAACCTCCTTAAGAGTCTGCACGGAGGGGCGGGGCGGAGGTCGGCTCAGTGTAGACGACGCAGGGGGCGGGGCAGGGGGGGGACGCAGAGCACGTCGCGCCCCTGTCTGACGTAGCGGACAGGCCCAGTCTTGATATTGACGGCGCAGGGGGCGGGGCACGCCGCGCCGCGCCGCGCCCAAGGCGGACGTAAGGGGGCGGGGCGCGCGTCGCGGCGGGTGGCAGCTGGCGGGCCAACGGCTCGATGGAGCGCTACGCCAGCGCACTGGAGGAGTCAGCGGATGGCACCCGACAGCAAGAGCGGCACTACCAGCTGCTGTCTGCGCTGCAGAGCCTGGTGAAGGAACTTCCCAGGTGTGCGGGCGCGGACTGGGCCGGGCCGGGCGGAGCGGGGTAGGGCGAGGGCGAGGGCGAGGGCGAGGGCGGGGGCAGAGGCGGCCGGGTCCTGCCCGGGCTCACCGAGCGCCTCTGCCCGCAGTTCCTTTCAGCAGCGCCTGTCCTACACCACACTCAGTGACCTGGCGCTGGCGCTTCTCGACGGCACTGTGTTCGAGATTGTTCAGGGACTGCTGGAGATCCAGCACCTCACCGAGAAGAGCCTGTACAACCAGCGCCTGCGGCTGCAGAACGAGCACCGAGGTGCGCGGGGAGGGGGGGACGGGCGGGACTGTGCACGCTGCTCCCAGGGGTCGACCCTTGTTCTCTGTGAGGTCGGGCCCTTCCCTGGGCGCCCTCCGCAAGAGAACCCTCGGATGGACCAGATCATGGGTGCGGGCGGGGTCTGCGATGGGCTTTTTTGGTGACCTGTGAATCGAGCACTGCCCTTTCCTTAGCGTGACACCCAGAAACCCCTGCTCAGGCTTCTCTGTCCCCACACCGCCTGCTAGGCAGGAAGGCCCAAAGGGTTCGCGCTTGGCCCGCCCACAGACACACCCACCCTCGTGGAGGCCGCTGATCCCCGATACCCGGCATGGATGAATGTTTTGCTGCTCTCTAGCACCCTTTAGGGTCAGCTCTCTCTGGGCAGCGGAGACACCACCCCAGCTGAGCTGGGAATTCCTGGACCCTCTTCCTTGTAGCATCCCCAGCAGCTCTGAAGACTTCTCACTTGAGCTCCAGGCTTGGCCCCTCCCGTGTATCTCCGCTGGGGGAGGGGTTGGGCGCCCCTTCTTGTAATCTGTACTGGGCAGTTACCTCTGCACCACCATCAGCTTTCTACCTTTACTGTTTTATTTTCTCCCAGCTTTTTTGTTGTTGATATTGTTCTATTTTGTTTGTGCGCTGCGGAGAATTAGCAAAAACTAATTAAGGCTTCCTGCATATTGGGCAGACATTCTGCCACTGAACTATATCACTAGCCCTTTTTATTTTTAAATTTTGAGTCAGAGTCTCAGAAAGTTGCCTGTGCTGGGGTTGTATTTTTGAACTTCCTGCCTCAGCCTTCTGAGTAGGCTGGGATTATGGGCCTTTGCCACCACACCCATCTTCCCCCAACTTTTTCTTGTGAACGCATACATTCAGAAAAGCTAAAAGGCTGTCCTTATGCTCGCCACCTAGATTCAATAATAAATATCTTGCAATAGTTTTTATATATGATGCACTTCACCAGGACTCTTCAGGGATTTTGTTTTGTTTTGTTTTGTTGGTACCGGGAATCAAACTCACAACCTCACGCTTCCCAGGCAGGCACTATGCAGCTGAGCTATATCCCCAGCACCTTATTATTTTTCAAGACCAAGATTTCACCCCAACGCATTTGACATTTGGAGCTGGATAAGTATTTATGGTGAGACACTGTCCTGGGCACCACAGGAAGACACCAGACAATCCTACTGGTCTACCTTTGCCAGAGATTGCGAGCTAGTGCTTTAGGACAGTAATACTGTTACACAACCGCAGTGAACTTTTCCAGTGTGTTGTGGTCACATTATCTAAGGTATCTCACTTTGTCACTTTAATTAGGGGTCCAGCCCAGTTTCATGCACTGCAACTGATTCTACCTGTAAAGTGTCCCTGCTGAGGACCTGTCAGACTACTTCTTCATGCTGTCATTTAACATGTTTCTCCATGCTGTTTCCTATAAACTGGACAGGAAACAAGGCCATCAGCTGCAGGGTAAATGTAGCAAAAATTTGTCCTAGTAATGCAAGTTCCCTCCCTCATGAGGGCAGGTGATGTCCATGTGCCACAAGATGAATATTTTTCTATTGGGAATGGATGTTGGGTTTTGTCAAATCTTTTGATGTGTCTGTGGAGATGACCATGTGACTTTTCCATTATGGTGAGTTACATGACGTGTGAATTCCTGGGATGAATTGCATTCTGGAGATAAATCTAAGTCAGTTATGATGTATCATCCTTTTTGTATATATTGGACTTGATTTGCTAAAATCCTATTAAGAATCTTTGCCTCTGTGTTTGTGGCAGATATTGGTGTGTAGTTTTCTTGTAGTATTTTTGCTTAGGTATAAGGATAATGCTGGTCTCCTAGGACATGTTGAGAAGTGTTTTCAGTTTTTAGATGCTCATATATAGTATTACTTCTTCCCTGCATGTTTGGGCACTTGTCTTTTTAGACATTTTGATTGTGGTAGAATATGCCTATAGTCCACAAATCTGAAGTATACAACTTGTTTTTCAAGCCCAGACTGCTGTGTTTGGCCCAGGGGGCTTTCAAGCTGGCTCCTCCGGTGCGTCCTCGTCAGTCTTCCAGCACTTCTTGCTTTCTGGTAGAGCAAGTTGTGCAGCCTCATTGTGTGCTTTCCAGGCCTCAGTCCTGAAACAGACCCTTTCTCCACAGAGCCCTTTAGCAGGACAGTTTTTGCTAATTCTGGATCCTTTGCTAATTGTCCCCAGCAGGTTTGGGCCACACTCTGCACAGCTAGCAGTGGGTCGGGCTGTGCTGGCTTTCTGCCTTCCTTTTGCTTGATTTAGCAGGGAGTGAGTGGCGTGCTTTGCTTTTCTTGGTGTTTACTAAGATCAGGCCCCTTCTCAGCAGGCGGCCAATATGGCTTTCTCCTTAACTTTTCATTGCTTATCCAGTGGAACCTGGGAGTTGACCTGGGACTTGTAGCAGTGTTTGGAGTGAATGAGGTGACACTGCTTGCATTCGTCTCGTGGCTGGCATCCTGTTTCCACCTAGAAGTCTCCTAACCAGGAAGTCTCTTTCGTGCCCTTGTGTTTATGGAGCTGTCTTGAGCTTAGCTCTTGGTTTCACACACATTTAATGTGATAAATGCCATCATCAAGGGTGCCAGGCTACCTGCTGTGGAGCCTCAAGCACCCTCCTGAGAAAAGCTGCCATGTGAGGTCCTCTAGGAATAGTGATTTTTTTCTTATGGCATGCTATCAACCCCTCCCTCCTGGGGCAGAATAGCCATTGATGCTTAAACCAGTAAGATTTAGGGCATCAGCTGTGTAGTGTTGCATACTGTTTTGTGATGGTGGTTTCTTTTCTTCCTATGCTGCTAGGGCAGGCACTTACGGGTGAGGTGTGCCCTGGGCCCCACCTTACTTTCCTTTCCCCATTGCCTGCTGTTGCTGATGGCTCTTTGTTCTTCTCCGGCTTTCTCCCCTCTCAGTGCTCAGGCAGGCTCTGCGGCAGAAGCACCTGGAGGCCCAGCAGGCCTGCCGGCCCCACAACCTGCCAGTGCTCCAGGCTGCTCAGCAACGCGAGCTGGAGGTAGGGGGTAGGGGTGAGATGGCTGGATCTGGCTCCTCCTGTGGGTACCACCTGGCTCTGCAGAGGGGCCTCAGGGTGGCTCAAGAACCTATGACTAGCTGGGCATGGTGGTGCGTGCCTGTAATTCCCGCACTGGGAAGGCTGAGGCAGGAGGATTGCTTTGAGTTCGAGGCCATCTTGGGCTACATAGTGAGTTCATGGCCAGCCTGAACTACATAGCAAGATCCTGTCTCAAAAAAAAAGTGACTGGTCTGGGCCTTGGCCTGTTAGGATGCTGGAATACAAGCACATGGCTTTTCCCTCTGGGGGCTAGGGTGTGTGCCAGGGCTGGGTGGAGGGTAAAGGTCCATTGGTCATTGGTGCTCTCTCATTCCTTGAAATCACAGCACCTTGAAGACTGGGGTGTGCACAGAGCAGATACTGAGTAGGGGATGCTGCATACCTTAGGCATGGAAACACCACTGGAGTGACACGGCCATCCGGGAAGGGGACCATCCTCCTAGGGAGCTTGTGGTGAACTGGAGACCCACATGTAAAGCCATGGAGGGGTGTGGGTGCCCTGTGCCAGGTCCCAGGGCAGCCCCCAACTGGGGCTTTTGGGGAAGCCTTTTGGAGCTCACCAGCAGGTGATGATGCAGAGAAGGGAGAGGTTTGGATGTGGCAAGGATACCCATAGTTCCGGAGCCAGTGCCACTGGGGATGGACAAAGTAGCTAGGAGGTGGCAGGCCAGAGGGTGTGTCTGAGGCACAGATGGGTAGGGGCTAAGCCTGGAGCCACCCTCATTGCCTGCCCTTGGCAGGCAGTGGAACATCGGATCCGGGAGGAACAGCAGGCAATGGACCGGAAGATCGTCCTGGAGCTGGACCGGAAGGTGGCTGACCAGCAGAGCACACTCGAGAAGGCAGGAGTAGCTGGCTTCTATGTGACCACCAACCCACAGGTCAGCACCTGGGCCTGCCCTCCCCACAGCTCATGTGTCACTGGTCCCTGAAGGCCCAAGGTCAGAGATGGGTAGGAGAAAGATGGGAGGTTCCAGGAAAGGTATGCAGGCCAGTCCCACTGCCCGCAGGCGGGTAGGCCACCTTCCCCAGGCCTGCTGCGCCCCGCAGGGCCCTCTGCTTCCCTCTTGCATGTTAGTCTCAGTGCATCATCCAGGGCGCCTGCTGGCCGTGCTAGCGTTGGAGGCCCTTCCTCCCCCTTTTGGCCGGCCTCCAAATGGGAGTCAGCCCCATGGCCTCACTGCCCGCTGGGCCAGGGCAGAAAGGCATCAGGTGTCCTTTTGGTCATCATGAGTCCCCTCTGCATCCCAGGAGCTGACGTTACAGATGAACCTGCTGGAACTCATCCGGAAGCTGCAGCAGAGAGGCTGCCAGTCTGGGAAGACAATCCTATGACCAGGTGGGATTGCTGCTGGCCACCTCTGCCCAGCCTGGCTGTGAATGCAGTTGTATCCACTGTTACCAGAAAGCTGGACAGTTTGTTTTCCTGATATTTGGCCACTGACTCAGCTGCCAGCAGGCATTAACCTTCTGCAGAGAGGCTGGGTGGCCCTGACTCCAACTGTCACCCACCTCTGTCTGGAGTTTTTTGGTCCAAGCACTGACATGGTGTCATGAAAAGGGAGGCGCAGCCCACAAGCTATCTGCCCCAGGATCAGGTGGAGATGGGACTGTTAGTTCTCGCACCTTCCCACTAGGTGGGCACATCTCCACCTCTCTAGATCTCTGGCTTTGTCCTCACTTTTGTCTTGCCCCCTCCCTCAGCAGCTGCTCCTGCCCCCCAACAGAAGGGGCTGTGAGGCCCAGGCCATGTGACTCAGAGAAATAAAAATACACATGGCTTACACGTCTGTGGTTTCTGCCACAACCAGAGCCCATGTAGGCCCTTTCCTAACAGCTGTGACCCTGTTGGAGCCAGCAGACAGCAGCCCTTGCCTGACGCAGTACCATGCTGTGGCAGAGGTGAAGGCTGCCTTCCTTATGGGCTGCCCAACCCCACCACCTCTCCACCTGCAGAAGTACTGCCTGCCCCCTGGCTCTCCCTGCCCCAGCCCTGGTCCCCAGACACTGTCACTACTATGTCTGCACAACACCCCCCCGCACCAAGCCCCAGAGCACAAGGACCATCCCCAGACTACTCCACGTGGGGCTGGAGAACATGGGTAGAGACGCACATGCAAGGGGGTGGGGGCATGAAAGGGAGTACTTGCCACAGGCCTGCTTAGTGTCCTGCTGGGGGCAGCGGGAACCTGGGAAGTGGGGTGGGCAGTAAAGGACACAGTAACAGAAGGAAGAGGACGGCCTGGGCCCATCTGCATGTTGTCTGCACTAGTCAGAGCCCGTGGGCCCACCGAGCTACAGACTCAAGGGTGCCGAGTCTGTATTGAAGCTAGTCAGAGTTGTCTGTCTATCCCAGCCAGGCTGGACTCCCAGCCCGAAGGGGAGGCTTCTGCATCCTAGCCACTCCCTCTGCTGCCCAGAGCTGATTTCACGTGAGGGCATGTGTTGGAGTTGAGGGCACTCACCTTCAGAACAGTGATTTATTGACCAAGCAGCTTTCCAGCTAGACCACTACCCACCAAAACTTGGGTGTGCGTGTGAGTCCCTGGCAGAAGGTGGTTCTTCAGGCCAGCAGCAGAGAGGGCCCCTTACTTGCTCAGAGAACTCCAGACAGTGCCTGGTGGCCTGCGTACCTGCATTCCGGGCAGGGCAGGATTGGTGTCGGGGACCAAGGGCAGGAAACGCCACTCCCAATGGCTGTCAAGTTTCAGATACCAAACAGGTGAATTCTGTGAGGTTGGAGTTGGACTGAAGCCGTGGTGATGGTGTGCACCCAGAGTCCCCCCTAGAATCCCTTCCCTGCCCTGCAACCCAGGGAGATCACAGACTGTGCAGCTGTGGTGGGTACATGGCTAGGCTGGGTACTGAAGGAGGCTGCCAGTGCGGAGCCGCCGCCACAGCTCCTGCCACAGCAGCTGCCGCTCTCGCTGGGCGCCCTTCATGATACTGCTGTTCTCCAGGGCGCGGCGGGACAGGTAGGGCAGCACCTCCATCACCGGGCCATAAGGCACGTACTTGTACACAGGGAAGCCGGCCTGGCCTGCACACAAAGCAGATACAGCCTTAAGTCCCAGCCCCCTCGGGGTGACCTCCACCTACCCTACCCAGAGAAGCTGGGCTTACCCAGCGGGAAGCTGATTTGGTCACACATGCCTAGCAGCTGTCCGAAGTACACCTGGTGGTCAGCGGGATGCAGGCCCAGCTGCTCCATCCTGTAAGCAGATGAGACCAGGCAGGTGAGGGGCTGGGCCTAAGACACTGTCCCAAGAGCAGTACAGGGTCCCTGTCTTACCTCTGAGTACTTCCTGCTTCCCCCAGGCCTCAACCCCTACACTACAGCCCCTGTCCCCTGCTGCGTTGGGCCAGGGATGTGGGCTTTGCCCTCTCCCACAGTTCTCTTCCCAGCAGAACTTGCCTGGGCTGCTGGGTGGGGGCGCTTTCCTGGGTAGGCCCTTTCCCAGTTCCTGCTGGCCTGGGTAGGCCAGCACAGTTCCTCCTCCCTTCCCCTCTTCCCTTGCGCTGGCTCTCCCACACCTCCACTTCCTTCCTGACCCCACAGGGCCTGCCCCTGGCTCAGGGAAGCTCCTGTGCCCACACACATCCGTCTGGGATTTTGCTTTGGTGATTGATCTGCTGGTAGCCCCTATCCCCCCCTTGCCGGCTGCCCCTCTACCCTGTCTGTACAGCTGCCTTGTCCCATAAGCAGCCACCAGCAGGCTGAGTCCTTAGACTCCAGATATGTCATGTCAGATATACAGTCTGCCCAAAAGATGCATACACACTTTAGGAAAAGAAAAATAGTACGGATGTTTTTCAAACAGATGGTGTTACCCTCGAAAGATGGGGGACCCTAGATCATGTCATATATCACAGAAAATCCGCTATACTCCAGTCTTAGAGAAGAAGTTGAAAATACACGTGCAGCAATTTCAGTGACCAGCGGTACCCAAGCAGCAGTCTGCCATACTAATAAATTTCTGGAAGCTTAATTGGCGCCACTTTGAGCACCTCTTGTAATTGTACAGGCCAAAGGTAACTTTATTAGTCTCATGATGTCTCAATAAACTTAGTATTAAAATGTGTATACAAGCTTTCTTTTCCTGAAGTGTGCATACATTTTTTTGGACTCTATATACTAGATGTAGATGTGGGAGACTTAGCAGGAAAACAGAAGGGAAAATTACTTATGTGTGTGGTGCAGGTGCAGGGCACTGAACCCAGGGCCTTGTGCATGCTGAGCTACAATCCTGAAACCTATGATATATTATTAAAATTAACCTCATCTTTTAAAAATTTGGCTACTAGAGAATTTTGATGTGTATCTGTGGCTCATGTATGTCTCTCAGCACTGCTCAGGTGTTGGGGTGGTGACCTCCAACCGTTTGCATACCACCCCTTGTTTGTAAAGTGTTACCAGACCAGTGTTTAAAGTAGCTACATGTTGATTGTTCCCACATTTTCTTCTCTAGCTTCCTGTATCCAGGTGTCTGGGCTTTGCGCATCTGCCCCTGAGCTCTAGAGCCCCCCAGACCCAGTGTACAGACCACCTGGGCTCCCTTGTACCCACCAAAGCTACTGGCAAGGCCTGTGATTCCTCCTGCCCCCGCCCCATCCTCATCACCATCTCAGGGTCCCCCAGCCCTGCTCCAGGCTCCGGAGAGCACCCAGGAACTCTGCAGCAGAGCGTCCCCTCCTGCCGTACTCCACTCCAGTGTCTAGGTTTCAGACTACAGGGCTGCAGACCCTTCCCCTGCCTCTGCCATGTGACTATGACAGGGTGCAAAAGGGTGCCTTGTGATTTCAGGCTTTGAAAAAGCACCATCTAGAACAGGAGGAATATCAATGGCATTGAATGAATTTAGAATCGTTGGTTCCTGTCCAAAAAGCACTGGAAAGCACCCCTATCCCCTGCCAGGCCTTGCACCCTCCCTGTACCTCTGGGATAGTGTCCAAGCATGGACCTGAAGCTGTAGAGGGGGCCCCAGCCTGGCTCTAGGGAGAGTGAGGGCCAGCAAGCCTGCTGCCCAGGGCCCATCAGGCTTCCTGTGGGTCTAAACTCCAGCGGGGAGGGAGGAGTAGGAGGGGGAAACAACAGCAGGTGCTGTTGCGTCTAAGGTGGGAGACAACCGTGATGAGAGTACTGGCATGTTCAGGAATTCATCTCACCTTATTTCTCTTATTTGACTTGTTAGAATTCTACTAAAGTTCTGTTCATGGAACAAGCATTTAAAGAGAAAATAGACTATATTAAATTCCAAATGCAGTGGAAATGTTAATGGAAGCTATTTATAAATGTGGTTTATAACTGTTTATAAACACTGGAGAGGCCTCCCTAGGAGGACAGATTTAACACCGTGCCAGAACATTTCAGTGAGATATTTAAATCACCTAACAAAATTTATGTTTTTGAATTTGAGGCTTTAGTAAGTTGGATACTAATTTTTAAAATGAAAGTAACTGCAAGGAGCCCTCTTGCTGCTGCAGGACCATATCAAGAAAGCCAGCAAGGCCTGGGGGGTGCCATAGCACATCAAAGACTGGCAGCTCGTTCCAGGGGGGTTAGCTTTCAAAACGCTCAGCAGCACCTGGCAGGCCACTGTGTGCTCCCTGAGCCCTGGCCCATGGCCAGCTGTCCCCAGTCACAGAGGGCCCCATAGGTTGGGGCGCACAGCACCCACCTGCGTAGTGTGAAGCGTACCGTGTCCTCATTGTGAGAGGCCACCATGACCTTGGCCTTCGAGTTGTGCTTCAGCTCCTCCAGGACATAGTCGAGGCACCTGGGGAGAGCACCACCTGAGCATCCAGCAAGCTGGCCGCTTCCAAGGGCTCCCACAGCATCAGGGGAGTGAACAGCTTCTGGCATGATCAGTGTCTTGTGAAGGAAGAGGATCAGAACCAAGAAATGGGACCAGACAGTTCACAGAGCACTAGCAGGGACACACTGTCCCTACATCAAGTGCTGTCACTCCACAGGGGTCAGGGTGGGGGCCTGCCTGGACCTGCTACCTTGTCTCTGGGAATAGACCCCACAGTGCCCTCCTAGTCCTTTGAGGAAATGAAAGGACGTGGATCCCTGGAGGTCCCGAGGGTGGATGTCATGTACCAGGGAGTCTGTCCATACTACCATGCACTCCAGTAAGGAGAGCTGCCAGACTGACAGTGCATTCTCTGTGACCCAGTGACCCAGCAGTCCCTTTTCTAAGGATGTGTGCAATGGCTGTGTCTTTAGGTGTAGAACTTTGGACAGCACCGTGTATAGCAAATAAAGACAGGGTGTTCAGTGAATCCCTGCCACAATAACCATGCTATCACAGCACTTCCATACATAGCCTGGGCGCCCCCTGCTGGCTGACAACACTGCAGCGCTCTATGCTGACACAGGAGAATGCTGATATAGCGTTAAATGATAAAAAGCCAGGGGCAAAGGGCAGAATGTACAATATATGAATGTATGGGGCAGATGTGTGGCAGGGGACAGATGTGCACAGCAGCTTCTGGATGTAGGTGTGGCCAGGAAGGGAGCTGGAGCCTGCAACAACACACTTGGGGTCCCATTCAGTTTGCAACAAGCACACACAGTTTGTGGAAAAGCACACAATTTGTGCTTCCCCCAAAGATCCCCAAGAAGAACAGCAAAAAACAAACAGGCACAACCACTGGCGATCTGCCACCCTGTGAACAGCAAAGCAAACAGATGGAGCCAGCCAAGCAGGGCCTCATCTAGGTGGCGCCAGAAGCCAGCTGGAAAATCGAGGCCAATTTTATTCAGTAGACTTTTCTACATTTAAAGAAAAACAAAAAACTTCAATGTTTTTGAAAAAGTGATGCAAAAGCAGAGAATATAACATACACCCTCAGGATGCAAACTGTGTCCGCTCCTGCTGGAGGCCTCGAATGGGATCAGCGCAGCATTAAGTGTCTCCCGAGGCCTTAATCCCCCTCCCTGCCTTGGAACAGGTGGGCTGGCTCACCTGTGGTACATGGTGTTGGTGGCCTCATAAGTGGGGTTGATGGGGTCCTCATAGCCAATCTCCGAGGCACGGGCACGCTCCTGAGCCATATAGGCACCACGTACCAGCTTGGCCCCAAAACACCAGCCTTCTCGGCGAGCCAGCTCCACATCCAGGGTCACATTGTCATAGGCATCCTGTGGGGCCAAGGCCAAGTCATAGGAAGCCCAGCTGGTGGCCAGGACAGGCACTTGCTATGCTCAGGTATTCCTGAGTATGTCAGCTTGGGGCCCTGGGCCAGGCAGTAGCTGCCCCAGGAAGATACCACTCAGGATGAAGGAGACAGGTGTGGGTAAGGATGGGCCTCTGACCTCTGTCCCCTGTGAGGGGTGACAGTGATGCCATCTGTAGCCTCTTCTGTGTGGCCAGGGGACAGCCTGTGGGGGTCAGCCCCGGTGCTAGGCATCACTGTACTCTCGGGTCTTGGCTGGCTGGGAGCAGGGTACATGTGAGGGACACTTGCTGGACACTTGCATGTCCTCTGGGTGCCTGGCTCATCCCCATGAGCTCTGGTGCCCAGCAACTTAGCATCCTCAGGCTGAAGGCTGGGTTTGGAAGGCCTATCCTGAAGCACTTCTGGGCTTCTCAAGTACTATACATGCAAAATTCTGGGTAAATCTTTTTCTAGCCAGGAGCCCAAAGCTTTCATAAGACTATCAGAGGATCCTTGGCTAAAAATGGGCAGAAAAATGGCAATCCATGAAGCCTTCAAGTTGTGGGATTTAAAGCACATCAGTTGGGTTCATTGTCTTTCTCCCACCCTCAGTCTTGTCTGGGTCCCAAAGCCCAGAAGAGGGACTGGCAGTGGGGCTTTTGGAGGCCCTACCTTCTACTCTGAGGCAAGCACTCCAGCTGTGGACTCCCCACAGGCCCAGGCATGGCTGCTGGGCAAGGGCCATTTTTTCTGGGCAGCACTGGCCAGCCCAGAATGAGCTCTGCTACGAAGGACCTCATCAACCCCTCAGGACCATTGCCTGCTTCCCCTGTCCTGCAGGGACCAGCCTCTGCTCAAAGCAGGGCCAGGCAAATGCCACAGGCTCAGAAAAAGAGCACCTCTCCTGCTGGTTGGCTCGTCATGCTGCATACCAGAGGGGGCTACAGTCCAGCCCTGGCGGTAGGTGGGAGTGGAAGCTGGTACCTTGAGGTAGCACTGGTACGTGTTGAAAATCAGTGGCTTCTCCACATTGAACTTGCGCTGCATTTCTAGTGTCAGGCGGCTGATGGCTGGCTGGAAGTAGGTCTGCTCGGCATCTACCATCAGCCGCACGCCCACCTCCATGGCTTTCTGAAAGGTACAGGGGGCAACAGAGTTTAGAGCTCAAGTGTGACAGTTGCCTTCCCTTGGCTCAAGCCCCAGGGTCTCTAATGCCCCAGCTCAGACCCCACATGGGGTGCCTCACACCTTGGCCAGCATATCCATCCTCTGTAGCATCCGTGTCATCTGCAGCTCCTCCTCTTCAGTAAACCGTGACAGCAGTGGCTCCAGCTGCCCTGTCTGAGACCCGGATCACACCTCTCAGCAGTGCTACCCCTGCCCCCTCACACAAGGCAGGAGGGCCAGCTGGGCTTGCCAGGAGGCTGCTCCTCCCTGCTTTTCACCTGACATAAGTGCTTCATCCTAGGTCAGCAAACAGTGACGACACCCCGCACTCTCATGGTAGCCAGTCTACTGTCCTGCGTGAGCCTGAGAGCACCAGGAGGGCACCCAGTGTCTGTGCCAGCCAGTTGCACCCCAGGGGATTTGCTTCCATGGCCCCTCAGAAGGTCCTATACTGGGGGACTTCCTTCACCCCCGAACAAGGCAGAGGAAGTGAACCCGGACCACCCAATCAACTGGAAAGGCTCAGCCAGCAACAGGAAGGGGGCTCTAGGGGAAAAACCTATGGCTACAGACAGACATGATATCCAGGGACACGGACTAACTGGCAGCAAGGGACTAAGATGGGGGCCCTCAAGGAGCCAGGCTGGTAAGTAGTGGGCTGGTGACTGGAGGTGACAGGACCTTCTGTGAGGGCCCATGCAGGGGTGCTCCTGGGGTGCCGGAGACTATGTCCCACAGTTTTACCCACTGGACAAACACTGCTTTATTCCTGGCCAAGTGTGGTTAAGTTTCCACCAGTCAGTGGCCTTGGAGTAAAGCTGCACCCACTGTGCCACCCTCAGGGCTCCAAGGCAGGAGCTCAAAGCTTAAGGCTCGGCCCTCAGTCGGCTGGGGCTGGAAGTGTGGAGGGAGCATCTGCAAGACAGTGCCCCACGGCTTCTGTTCCTCCCTCAAGCCCCAGCATAGGTGGGGCCGAGCAGTCTCATCCTCCCGCAACACTGGCTGGCCGAGCAGTGTGGCAGAGGTGGACCACTGGCCTCTGAGGCTACGCTGGGCAAGATAACTTGGCTTCTGCCCGGGCTTCATCTCAGGGGAAAAGCGTTGCTGGAGGCCACCTGCCATGCTGGGAGGGAGCTCAGCTGAGAGCCGGAACCCCCCTCCAGACCTCCGTGCTGGTGTGGCCCTGCACCGAGTACCAGTCCACAGGACACTCCAGATGAGAGCCCGGCTGAGCCCCGTCAGCCCGCAGCCCTGAGGGGACAAGACGCTGCCACTGCCAGTCACAAAGGTTTGCGGTGACCCGAAGCACAAGGTTAGCTAATTTGGAAAAGACCTCTGCAGACATTCTCTCTAGGTAGTGTCTTAAAGCTCCACATGGGTCTTTGTCCCACTGAACACTGTGGACACTAGTGGGTTTGTCTTCTCCCCCGTGGGACAGAGAGGACCGCTGTCTCAGTTACACTGTGTCCCAGAATGGGTAGCAGGAGACACACAGGGTGAGCTGAATTCCGTGTTTGGCCGCATGCCATCTGAGCTGGGGCCCAGGATGGGGAGCATTACCTGCATGTTGGGGACCACCAGGTGCCTGGAGAGGCGGGTCCTGCTGTTGATGAGGCTGCTCCAGTCCAGCAGGTCCACGGTACTAAGAGAGAGGGCGCATCAGCAGAAGAGGTGCACATAGTGCACCTTCTCACGCCTGTCATATAGCTTTACCCACGGTACTAGGGTCATCTGGGGGTCCGGAATCCAAACAAGCCCGTACCCCAAAGAGCACCCCCAAACCGAGCTACCACAAACTCCACCCCATTCAGTTTTGGAATATAAAACATAAACATTGTTCTCCACTTAAAAAATTAAGGGCTGGGGAGATAGCTCAGCAGCACAGTGCCTGTGTGGCAAGCACAAGGTCCTGAGTTCGTTTCCCAGTACCAAAAACAAAAAAATTTTTAAACCAAAACATGCATATTCCTGCATTGAGGTGGTGATTAAAAAAACACGAAGCATGCACTGGGAATGCCAAGGCCAAGTCAGGCTCAGGGAAGAGCTAAAGGCAGGAGACAGGCAGCAGGCAGCAGGCAGACAAGATGCCCTGAGCTGCCTCCTTGACTAGACTGGTGACCTAAGTCCCAGGCCCTGAGGGTAGGGCATGGGGCCCAAAGAGGGCTGGGTGACACTGTCACTCTGTGACCCAGACAGTTCTGTAGACAGCTCTGTGTCTGCACTGCCCAGCCATAGCCCCGGGGCTCCCAGTCTCCCGTCAACTCCTGCTCTGTGTCTCAGGGGAGTGGTCCCTTCAGCACTGTCATCCTAGAGGCCCGCCCCCTTAGGAAAGACACCAGACCTAGGAGAAGCTGCTGGGGCTTAGCTGGAGTCATGGCCATGCCAAGGGACAGGATCCCCCTTGCCAGCCAGGGGCCGTTCTTACCCGGACACTCCCAGGGTCTCTGGTGTGAACCAGTCTTCTATCTCAGCCCTGGGTGCAATGCCCATCTTCACAACACTTTCCTTGAGAAAACCACAGAGTCAGCGCTGGTGTCTCCCCGCCTTGCCCACTAACGTCAACGCACCCCTCACTGGTCTGTGGTGCCATCTGACAGGGTCCATTTCAGGCTTGTGCTTCTGCTCCATAGACAAGTCTATTCCCCCCTGTCTACTGGTGACCTTCCCACCCCTGTGGCTCTCCAGCACTGCTACCTGCAGGGCCAGCTCCCCTGCCCTCCCACCGGTGTGTCCACAGTCCTTCCTGTGACTCCTCCTTTTCCTACCTCCTCCTCCCCAGCTTGCCCTAGCAGCACAGCTCCAGCACTGGACTCTTCTCCATGTTACCTGCCCCCTGTGGGGAAGGGGAAGAGCAGCCTAACCTGCAGCGCCGCCACCTCCAGCTTTGTATCCATGGCAGCACGCCCGGCCTGCCCTTGCTCTGCAGCCATTTGGTGGAAGAACCGTCTCCATTTGGTCAGCACGTCTGAGAACTGCAGCTGTAAAAGCAGGCCTGAGCCACCCCATCTACAGCACACACAGCCCCATGTGGCCTCTGAGACCGAGGACAGGGGGACAGCTATCCCCTGTCCTGTCCCATCCTGGAGCCCCAGTTCACCACCCCCGAGTTATGGCCATGTCGGCTGGCATTTAATGCCCACAGCAGTCCTGAGGTCGTGGACTGCAGATAGAAGTTGGTACACTTACCAGAAACTGGGGTCTCCCCAGTGCAGTAAGCTTAATGGCTGAGAAGCCATCATTGCTGGCTCCACCTGTCAGAAGCCAAAGGAAGAGCTATGAGGGCTCCTGAAGAGAGAGATGCCAGGATGGGTGAGGGAGGACAAGGAGCCTATTCTGGCTGCTGGCCTCGCAGCTGAGTCCCTAGCCATGGTGCTATCCTGACCCCAAAACTCCTGCATACCTCAGACCCCACCACAGAGGTGGGAAAGTGTGACTTGATAAAGTGTGTATGTGTCACATGGTGCAGGAAGACAGCAGGCAAAGGAGCCGGGGAGGCTGCTCGCTGCCATGGCTGTCCCGCACTGCCTGCCTCAGTTTCTCCCCCTATACCATCAATAGGCTACCCGTGTGGGTCACAGGACACAGAAACACCAAGTGGAGCAGAGGCCAGAGCACACAGGGTGCTCATCTCTGTTTCTGTTTGGCTTCATTTCCCAGGCAGGGGTCAAGGAGACACGTCTCACCAACATGGCAGAGCACTGGCCTGACCGCTGCAGACCCCCAAGGCATCAGACAATGCTTCCCAGGATCACTCTCTGATCTGAACATGTTCAGAGGGCAAGGACTGCTGGTACTTACTGACAGCAAGGAACTGCGTGGCTTGGGGACTGTTCTGGCACTTGAGATCGATGATTCCGTGGCTTAACTCACCTCCCTCTCCCCAGTAGACCCACAAAGGCTATACCAGGGAGGAGCTCCCTGTCATAGAGGATGTGGACACCCCAAGGCTAGGGATGGCTCAGCCCACTGATGCTGACTACCTCCAGGACTCCATGTCTGGGCACCACGCCCCAAGGGGCAAGAGTGTGGGGCAGGGCAGCAAGGGGCTGGACATGGCACAACTGGAGTGTGACCCACGTTCAGCCCTCACTCTGGTGCCCACCTTCTTTACCAACCCGAATCTCAGGGACCACCCGTTCAGGGAGCTTCCCAGGCTGGTGCCTGGTAGGTATGCAGCCAGCTGGAGGGCCCCACCTGAGGCTTCAATGCAGCGCAGGAAGGTCTCCATGTGGCTGTCACACTTGGCTTCATTGGCGTAGAAGTAGGTGCGGGCACTGACGACACCATCCCTGCGGTCTCCAAAGGCACGGTGGGCCTGGTACTGCTTTTCCCTCTTACTGGCCCCTGGAAAGGCGGACACATGGCCTAAGCACAGACTCATGCTCCAGTCCCCTCCTGCAGCACACACAGGCCGAGTTCCAGGGGTGCATCACCCTCAGCCCAGGCGCCACCCGGGCTCCTGCACTCTGCACGCCACAGCTCCCTCGCTCCCCTCATCTCAATCACCTACGTGCCCCTGCCTTGTTGGTCCCTCATCTGGAGTGCACGTCCCCCTGGCTCACCCTCAGCGTGGCCAAGAGGGTCAAGGCTCCAGCATAAAAGCTCTGATTATCACCTGCTGAGGGCCAAGGGGACTGAGTCTACCGTGAGGCCTGTGAGAAGTAAGTAGGTGTCTGAGGCACACAGAGCCAGACCAAGAGCGCCCATCACAGGGAGTAGTGTGGGTCACTGTCCTCCACCCCAGGGGTTGCTTGGGCCAAGAGCCAAGAAGTTTCCTGGGCTACCAGTGTACACACAGGCGTGGAACAGCACCTGTCTCTTACTCACCACTGCCATCCCTCTCTGCTGCAGAGGTGCAGGACCTGCAGGGAAGAGAAAGAGGCAAAGATCAGGGCCATACTACCTGGGCAACAGGCAATAAGAGGCAGAGAGGGGTAGATGAGACTGAGCAGCGGACCTTCCCATGAACATGACAGGGCTGGCTCTACGACACAGCTCAACTGGAGGTTGGCCTGGGCAGGCCCAACCACACCTTAGGCTTTGGGCATAACCACCTGGACCAGGGAGGGGCAGCAGCTCTGGGGCCCTGGAGCCCCATGTCCTCAAGAACGTCTAGTTTTTTGTGGGTGGAGCCCTTCCCTATTGGCAAAAAGTAATTAAAACTATTGGCCTGGATTTGCAGACTAGCCCAGGACATGCAGCTCCTTGAAATCAGCAAGTGAGGAGGAGGGTACTGCTTCTTCCCAGGAAAGGTTGGAACACAGAGCCACACAGAGCCATACAAGAAGAATGGAGGCCAGATGCCGCCCTGCACACAAAATTTCCCAAAGCCAGTGCGAGGCTCCCTTGCTCTGGCCTCCCTCAACCTGTCCGTAGTCTTTAGGCTCCTCTGAGGACCACAGCCCAGGCTGAGCTCTGGGCTCTGGCCTCCCTGCACTCTCTCAGCTGTCACTATCTCACCTGTCCCTACCCAATGTCCAATGGTCCCTCCTTTCTCCATGCACCCCTTCCTGGTATCATCCTCCCCACCGATGCCGGGATCCCTGCCAGACCACTGCAAATGCCATCCTCCTCCTCAGAAGAGTGTCATCAGCTTCCTGGTGCTCAGGTCCAAGGCTGCGCATGTGGGATAGCACATGGTTGGCTGTTATGAATCAAGGGGACGTTCACCCTGGCCCTACCCTGCTGGGCCCAGGCTGGCTTTGTCTATCATCAGACTTTGCATTTAAAGCAATATTAAATCAGTTGCCTCAGAGAGACAGCTCAGTCTTGTGACTAGCAGTATCGTGGCCTCAGGGCCTAAAGCCCTACCCATGCGCACAGGAAAGACAGCAGTTTTCCCCCTACCATCCTGTAGGGCAAAGGTAGAGTTAGAGATGTATCTTCACAGAGCTGATGCATCAAGGGGCCTACCCGTGGTGGCTTCTAACCTTACTCTCAGGGAACAAGTCCTAGGCCACCAAGCCACATGCCAGGAATTCTTCCCCTCAGCCCCCACTCCTTTTCTAGGGCCCTTATCTGAGAACTTTGAGCCAGAACATGCAGATCAGGACCTAGAAGTCATAGTGGGGCCAGGCCCTTAGGGCCTCAGGCTCCCCACATGGCACCATAGCTCACAAGGCCACAGCCTGGAGACAGAAGCTGGGCAGGCAGCTACTGCTCAGCCACCTTGTGGTGACAAGATACAACAGTAAAGGAGAGGGATAAATGTCACCATGTGACAGTGTTATGACTCTGTAATGGGGAGCAGGCTGGCCCTGCATTTGACCTCCTTGCCAGAAACAAGGAGCTCCTCCGTCCCCTCCTTAGGCCCCTGATGCGGACTTCAGCAAGCCCAGCCTCAGGGATAGCCCATCCCTTTAAGCAGAGGCCCAGGTACAACCCAAAGTCCTCATGGCAAGGAAGGACAGACTCAGGACTAAGGTATGAATAAGCTGTAATGGGAAGGCTCAGTTCTATAACCATGAAGCCAGCACTCTAGATAACATGAGCTTTCATCAGCAAACACCACCGCTGGGCCTGGCCTTCCTCTTGTCTGTGCTTCCTTGAGTCAGGCCAGGGACTACTCTATGGCCTTAATTCAGAGTGGTGGCCTTGCGACCGGAGGATGGGCTTGGAGGAAGACAGATCTCCAGGTGGATGCTGAAGCAGTTCCCCATGCAGAAGTCTGTAGCGCTGCTCACTGCTGCTAGAGTGTGCTGAGAGAGCCCTGCAGCCATCGGTGTGGACGCTGAGCAGCACCTACAGGGTCAGCTCCCCACAATGGCCTGGGCCCCTCTAAAAGAAGAGCTGTCAGCCAAGCTGGGCCTCCATCCTTACCACTTGCCTCTGGTGCAGTCACTCTGTAGGTCAGGAAGGGTGTCTCCCCCCCCCCGCCCCCGCTTATGTCCCAGAGCCTGAGTGGGGCTCCTGCAGGATAAGCAGCCATCAACAGCAGAGCAGCCCAATGGAGGCACAGCCTTTGCAGGGCAGAGAAGTGGGCCCCTGGTGGTCTTTGCATGGGGCAGGCAAGGCACACTCACACCCACCTCCAAAGGCTCAGCTGTAGGACAGGAAGTCAGGCTGCCCTCAGAAAGGAGTCATTTCCTGTCAAAGGTGTCCTGAGAAGAACTGCCATTGTGAAACCTCGCAATCTTCCCCCAGCCTAAACCAATGCCACACAGCACGTTAGTTATTCACAGCAGCCTCAGTAAAAGCTGAAGCCTGGCAGTGAGCCTCACAAGGGTGCTGCCAGTGGAATACACCGCCTGCAAAACAGCCAATGGTCAGGCAGGGGCTGGGTTCCTCAGGCCAATCAGCTGTGGGCCAGGCCAGCATGCTGAGACAAGGCTCGGACATTCCGTTCCAGGGCTGGCAGCCTCATGTGACTGCCTTTCCCTACCCCCTTCCTGCAGCCCTGGTGGGAGGGCCGAGGTGGGAGAGATAAAGGGGGCAAAGCAAACACTGAGCCCTGGCAGGGTCCACAGTGGGCCTGCCTCAAGCTTCAAGTGGTTTGGCACAGCTCCATGTGAGGGCCTGGCCTAAGAGTCTAAAGCACCAGCACTTTGCAAATAAAGGGCTGATCTTGCTGGGACCTCCTGAGTCAACCACTTCAGGGCAACTTCAGCCTGCCCTTCTGTCCTGCTGCCCAAGAGAGAAGGTCAGCAGACTCTGTCCCCTGTACCCACTTCTCAGGTGGTGGCCTTGGAGCCAGTCAGTGATGTGGGAGGGGGAGACTCCGGACAGGCCACTGCACTGCTCCTGGCTACAATTCCCGCCTCCAGTTTGGCTGCCTATGCCGGGGCAGCTCTATATCCTCCAGGCAGAGCTACCTACCGATTAGGAAACTATTTCCTGTGGGCTGGGGCCAGACAGACTAGGATGTTGGGACCTACCCAGCCAGTCAGAAATCCCTGGGAAGAGAGACTGTCACAGAGTAGGAAGGCAGAGTAGTCTCCTGCACCAGAGCCAGGGTACATATTCTCAGCCCTGGAGGCCATGCATTTACACAACTCTAGCCATGTAGGGCAAAAGCAGTTTGAACTTCATATAATTTTTGTATGTCATAAAACAGAATTCTTGTTTTGATTTTTTTCAACCATTTAAAAATGCAGCCAGGAATGATGGCACACCTGAGTAATCCCAGCACTCTGGGAGGCTGAGACAGGAGGATTTGCAAGTATGAGCTCAGCCTGGGCAACTGGGCAACTTACCAAGACACTATCTCAAAAACAGAAAAAGTTAAAATGTAACTCAGTGTCCCTTAGTTCACTCCCCAACACCACAAAATAAATTAAATAAAATGCAAAATCCATTCTTAGCTTGCAAATTGTATACAACCAGGTGAGGGGCTAGGTAGAGTGAAGGGCCACGGTTTGCAGACTGCTGTCCTCCCTTGTCTCCTCTGGACTCATATACGCACACCAAGCTTTCCATGAAAGCCCAGACTGCCACTTGCAAAAACTCAAGACCTCCAGGCATGATGGAGACCCCTATGAAGTAGCTCTGAGCAGGATTTAACACAACCAATTGGCTTTGCACATTTACTTGTGAGTCTGTCCAAGGCCTGGGCCCCCTGTCTGGAGTTGGGCAGCGGACTCACAAGAAGTGAACCTCTGTGAGTCACTGGTCCCAGCGGGAGGCCTCAAAAGACAAGATAAAGCCATAGCTAAGGACACCTGGCTCCAACCCTAATTAACTAGATAAAGACTGTAGCTGCAGGAATCTCACTCCTGGGTAGAGACCTTCCTGGAGATAACACAGTTCTCCTAAATTAACACAATGTCTTACTTGGAGAAGCCCTTGAGCTGACTTGCAAGGCCAAGGCAGAGTCCTGCCTTACTTTTGATAACTACCCATAGAAGATCTTGGTCTTAGGCCCCAGAGAATCTCAAATTCTGTTAGAGGGTTTTGATCCTCCTGGAGCCCTGAAATCATAGTATCTCCTTTATTTAGCTTTTGCCATCCACTCGGTTCGGGAGATAGAGGACCTGATCAGTGTGCAGTGACTAAGGGATAATATTAATGGGATACAGGCAGAATGCCAGAGGGTCCCCAGTAACCGGGCCAATGGGTCTCCTAGCCTTGGCCTCCACCTAGCCCAGGATGAAACCCAGCAGTGGGACATGGCCCCTAACAGCCCCAGTGCACTTGGGGGTCACCATCAGATGCCTGTGCAGCTCTGGACTGGCAGGCCTTACTCCATCTCCTTGCGTTCCGCCTCCTCAGGGCTCAGATCTTCTTCTACTCCATAGTCCAAGATGGAGCCAACGCCAAAGGCCTTGTTGTGCTGGATCAGGGGTCGGATGGACTCCTGGTCCTCACCCGCCACAAACTGCCCATAGAAAGTCATCTTCATCAGCTTATTGAACAGTCTCTGCCCCATTAGTTTCCTGGCAATGTGGAGCAGCTGAAAGGCAAAAGGAAGAAGCTGTTTTCGTTCCCATCCTGCTCTTCTCCAGGAACCCTGCTTCTACCTCCCTACATTCTTCACTGTAACCATAGCCTCCACATGGGCTCCAGGGAAGACCACCTGGGGCAGCACAGAGCCAGTCCTTATCCAGGACAGAATGGCAGGACCAAGGTGCCACCTCATGGTCCTCCACCCCCTCTGGTCTCCCTGCAGCTGTGAGCAGCTCAAGGTCACTCCAAAGCACACAAGGTGCCTGACCACAGTTTGATGGGTAAAGAGGAGCATGATCAAGCTCCTGGGGTCAGCAGTGGAGGTTTTTATAACATTCTCCATATCCACCTCAGCAGCTCTGTCAGGGAGAAGAAGGATCTGAGGCAACTTTCTAGAATGTGAGTGCCCAGATTTCTCAATGTTTTGTTCACTCTTATTCTAAGTCCCCAAAACAGCTCCCGGCATGAGGCCAGTCCTCAAACAGTTGCAGAATGGCAAATGCAAACAAAATTCAGGCTGAGCCCATGCTCAGCTGCAATGAGGCACGCTCTGACAATAAGCCAGGTGATGGTCTACAAGGGTCTGTGAGAAAACAGCCCACCCTGGGACCAGGGGCTCTTGTCCAGGGCTGACCAGCTGCCCTGATAGACATACCCCGAAGAAGACAGCTGCCCAGAAAATGGCTTCTGTTTTCCCTTCAATTACACCTAACCTCATTTTGAATTTCTGCCATCATTCTTTCAAAGGTCCCAAGCTGCTATGTGCCAGGCACAGTTTTTTTTTTTTTTTTTTTTTTTTTTTTTTTTTTGAGACAGGGTCTCGCTATGCAGTTCAATCTGGCCTTGAGCTTACTTTGTAGCTTAGAACTCACAACAATCCTCCTGCCTCAGCCTCTCAGAGTGCTGGGATTACAGGCGTGCTGGGATTACAGGTGTGCACCATTACAGTTGGCTTGGGCACAGCTCTAAGAAAGAGAAACTAATGAAGGAAACCGAAACCACTGATATCCTCAGTGGAAGGAGATCACCCCCAAAAAGGAGCAAGGTCAGTCCATATATGACCCAGATCCAGGAGACAGAGGCAGGGCCTATGGCCAGGAGAAGGGGTAGTTAAGCTCCTAACCTAAATCCAGGGAAGGGGAACTTGGCAAGGCAAGGTGACACAGAGAACAAGGGAAGCTCTCAAGGGGGAGAGCAAAGGAAGAGGAAATGGGGATAATCAGAGGCTCCTGGATGCTCAGAAGCAAAGCCACCCCTCTGCATGAAGCCGGTGTGCACTGTCCCTCACCAACTCAGCTCTAAGAAAGGAAATGCCTGGAGTTTCTCAAGCCACATGGACAATGGAACTCCCTTTTGTAGTGAAACCACCTCAGACCTAAGCCAAGCCATTAGCAAGTCAAATATCATCCCCAAATCAGTTCCCTTCCCCTGGACCACACAGTGGCCATCCTCCCAACCACACCTGTATCGGGGCTGTACATGCAATCACTCCTGCCTTCCCGCAGCCTCTGTGCACTATGATTTTTCTGCACTTCATTCATTTATCAAGAGGATTAAAAAGGGGAAAATGTGCCAAGAACAGGTAGAGATGGGCCCCTGAGTTTCACCAAGTCCAAATCAGAGTCAGGGGCCTTGCAGGTCACAGCTAGCCTTGATTGTTGCTATCAGGGGTAGCTGGGAGGAGAAGACAGATCTTGCACAAATCAGATAGCACCCAAGTGACAGGCTGGGCAGACTAAAGGACCTGAAAATCCATACTCAGCTCTGGAAATGAACCTCTGATGTCATCCACATCAGCTGAGAGAATTATCAGAATGCACCATAAGGGAAGGTGGGTAACTGTAAATTTCCCTATATGGGGCCACATGACCTCATCTACTTAACTACGTAACTTTGCCACAGTAGCACCCCTCAGAGGAGCAGGAGCAATGCTGTGCTTGTTCTAGGAGTCTCACTTACACAGAAGGGTCCAGGGACAGGCTGTGATCTCCTGCATATGGTGCATGCTGATGCTCTGCTCTCCACGAGGTGGGACAGGGAACAGCTGCCTGAGTCCATCACATGCCAGAAGGTGGCATGCCACAGAGGGGCTCTGGAGGCAAACTGGAAGGGATACTACCAGCCCTTTCCAGAGCCAGTGGACCCTTTAAAGCCACAGTGGTGTCACATATGCTGTGGGGTGTTACTAACTGAGCCCAGGGCACCCCACCTTTTCTCTGGTCAAGGCATCCTTTGAGAATTCAGAGACTTGCACCAGTACCATGTACATACGTTTTTGCTGTAGTAAAAGACTCCAACAAATACACAGGAAGCAACGACAGCCAGGTTGGTTCTCTCACCTCCCTGTCCCCACCATCATCCTGTGTCCTGTCACTCCTGCGCCAACTCACACTCTAGCATGAAAGCCCTGGACTCTTCTAAATCCTCAGAAAGACTGCTCTCAGGTAAGCATGGTCCCCAGCTGAGTTCTGACATAAGGTGTCAGCCCCAAACTCTGCTCCTGTACCCTGACACTCCTAGGAGCAAGTCTAACTGACAACTCCACCACCCCAATCTGAGTTCTCAGCAAGAGGAATTCTCCCACAGGCCAGGAGCTAAGGGGAAGGTTGCTTTGTTTTGTTTTGTTTTGTTTTGAGACAAGGTCTCACTTTGCAGTTCAGGCTGGCCTTGAACTCGCTATGTAGCCCAAACTGGTCTCAAACTCACAGTGATCCTCCTGATCCTCCTGATAGTCCTGATCCTCCTGCCTCAGCCTCCTGAGTGCTGGGATTATAGGTAGGGGCCACCACGCCCAGCTGGGTTGGATTCTGGTGATCAGCTCAAAGACCCTGGATCTGGCTTCCGCCCCATTTCCTCCAGCATTAAGCCACTGACAGCAGAAAGACCACTTACAATTGGACCTTTGCAAACTTCCCGACTCACCTTGAGGTTACTGTCATCTCTAATATTCCCAGGCTGGCCAAAGCCAAGGCTTTGTTCTGCTTTGTACTTCCTAAAGGCCCTCACACTAAAAGTTGCCAAGTATAAGGTTGGTTGTTCGGGCGGCTTCCCATTTTCCTCAACACCGTTCAGAGTGGCCTGTCCAGGGGAGTGTCAGGTCATGGCTTGTGGAATTCCAGTATCCCAGGCTAGAACCTCTCCAATACCCCTAGAATTCCCTTTAGGCACCATGAAGGATAATTTTGAATTCCAGGCGATAACTCTATAGTCCTGCGAGTAATACGTACCTCAAAATTAACTACTCTGTCTTTTAATTGATAGTAACTGACAAGTAGAGAAACTCAGGAGGTCGGAAAGGGAACGCAGGAAACGCCTCCCTTCCTGACTTGTCTCACTACAGAAGATGCCCAAGTGTCCCTGTTTTACACTTCCAAACTCCGCAACGTGGTTCTCGGGACGGGAAGGGGTCCTGCGCAGCCCCGGCCCACCGGCCCGCCCACTCACGTACCTGCTCGTGGCGCGCTAGCAGCGTGGGCGAGGCGCACAGGCGCAGCACCAACAGGTTGCGCGCCAGCTCCCAGCTACGTCGGCTGCGGTATGCCTCCTGCGCGTTGCCGAAATCCACAGCGGGCACCGGCGGTCGCGCTGCCTCGGCCGCCCCGCATCCCAGCTGGGCCCCCGGGTCGGCGGTGGGCCGCTCGCGGGCCACTGGCGCAGTGGACAACGGAGCGAAGCCGGGCGTGCGGGAACTCAACGAGTAGAGGACGCGTCTGAGAGCCATGACTCGGAGGGTGAGGACGCGCCAGGGCCGTTTAAATATATACCGGCCGGCCCCGTTCAGAGGCCACGCCCCCTCGAGAAGTTCTCCACCCACGCCCCGCGCTCCGAGCCGCGCCCTCTCCGAACCGCGCGCCCCAGGGCAGACTCCGCCCGCCGAGCGAGCCCCTCCTCCGAGCGCGGCCCTCAGCGCGGGTCACACTCACGCGGGAGTCCCTGTTTCTGCGTCTGTCCAGCCGGCCGTCCAGCCGGCCCCCCACCCGCGCCGCGGGAGACCCCGCGTCCTTAGGAGCGGGTTCTGAAGACCCTGTGTGTGATTTGCTCGCGAGTTTCCCAGGTCCCCAAGCAGGTCAGTAGCTCCCGAGCCCCGGGTTAGCGCTATCACAAGCTGTCGCCCTTCCACAGATTTGGGGCCCCCTGGTGGTTGATCCGCGTGGACACACTGCTGAGGCCACTGGAAGGTGGACTAGCTTGTCCTGTGGTTCGCAAAGGGGGGTTTGGGAAGCCGTCCTCTCCTCCTACCCCCGACTGCCACTCAACCACCACCATGCAAGCCTGGGAAAGACGCTTGCTGGTGCTGTACCCTTTGTGTCATCTAGGCCTACCACCATCCCAGGAGGAAGCGGGGATGTCTATATCCCCACAAGATTCCTCCATCCCCCACCTTGCCACCTTGTCTCTGCTGACCCTGCCATGGAGCACTGAGCTACCTGCCACTTCCTTTAAGCCTCCATCTACCCCGAAGACCTTTCCGCTCTCTGCCCCTCTGCCTGATGCCCTTCCTTCCCACGTTTTGGGAGCAAGGAGCTCCAGCCACAGACGTCACCTCCTACAGGGACTTGCCATGATTGCATAAGGCATCCTTCCTTATTACCTGCCCCTTGGTCCCTCTCCCCACACATCCTGCTTCCCTACAGATCCTGGATCTGATTGTGGGTGGCATCCTTCCTGCATCTGGAGTAGGGGCATAGCATCTCTTTAGGACTGTTGACATTTGGGGCCAAATAATTCTTTGTGGTGAGAGAGGGGGGAGCTCAGGGGTCCTTCTATCAGCACAGAGGAGGCCAACCTGAGTATCAGGCCACGGCCACCACAGTCTTCCCCACTTTCTTTTCACAGTGATCACTCCTCCCTGGCAGCCTCTGCCCACACCCTCCATTCCTCTCTGGCCCCTTCTCTGAGCTCCAGGTGGTGGGCCCCTGCCCTTGGGCGTTGGTCCCTCACTCTTGGCCCTGGAGTTCCTCTTCCTTCTTAGGCTCAGCTTGACAGGCTCCTCCCCCGTAGGCCCTCCTCCGCACCCAGGGTGGCCTGGGCTCCTACTTGGCTGCAATACTCTCTTCTTGCACTTGTTGCTGTGGCTGACTGCTGTATTCCAGCCACATTTGCTGACACCTTGATGTATCCTTATGGAAGGAAAGAAGGAAAGAAGGATGGAAGAAAGGAAGGAAGGAAGGAAGGAAGGAAGGAAGGAAAGAAGGAGGATGACATGGGAAGTTTGATCCCACGGTCTAGGTCAGTGATGGTGAACCTTTTAGAGATTTTGGTGATACAAACAGCTCACTGTGCATGTGTGCTATAGGTTCACCACTACTGGTCTAGGCTAATGGACTGTGGATTCAAGACTCATCCTCCAGCAGTCACCTGGACCACACCTGACCTTTGTCTAGCAGCCTGAGGGCCAAGAGGCCTGAGCTAGACAGGACCCTCTGCAGGCAGGCCTCGGGAGGGCCCATTGGCTTCCTGATGGCCTTGCTTGTGTTTTGTATACAGATACACCCTTTGATGTCTCTCTTCTGGCAGCCATGCCAAACCAGCTTGGGCCTGCACTGTGCTCAGTCCTTTTTCTACATGGTTCTGTCCCACCCCAGAAACCCCGTTCTAATATACTGTATTAGAGACAGGAAAAAGGGGATCATTTGGCCTCACCAGCTGTATCACCACCCACTGCAGTGTAAAGGAGGAGGCTGACAACCATCCATATCACAAACACTTTTGACAAAAAGGTTGAGCGTGTGAAATGGTGCCAGGTCAGCACACAGCCTCACATGGTCACCCCCGGCACATTCAGGACTGCTCCAGCTAAGAGCTTAGACTTTGCCATCCCTGTTCTGAGTCTAAGCCAAAGTACTTGGAACAATTCAGAGGAGGCTATGGGGCAAAGCTCACAAACAAGATGGTCATCATCCCACAGTGGTCATTGGTGGCACTCAGACTAGCTCCAGCACCTCAGCCACCTGGGATGATCCCAAAAGTGTTCTCAGTCCTGCGTCACGCAGGTGGGAGAGTCACACTGGGTGTCTTGCCTCTTGTCTTACAATAAAACTTTCACTCTGTAGCTTGTGGCTCAAAAACAGTGTTCAAGAGGGACACTGGGGAAGATGGCAGAGCAGGAAGCCCCAGAAACCTGACCCTCTTCTGAGGGACAACAGTTGAACTAAAATGAACAGACTTCAGCCGACCCAGGATCAAAATACAGTATTTGAGAAAAGTGTACTGACCACAAACACACTTTTTTTGGTCACGATTCCCTAAACAATGCAGTATAACAACTATTTACATAGCTCTGACATTGTATTAGTTGTGATAAGTAATTCAAAGGTGATGTAAAGTCTGTGGGAGGATCTGCATTGGTTATATGCAAACATTCTGCCACTTTATATAAGGGTTTTAAACATCCATAGATTTTTGTAAATTCAAGACTTGGTACCTGCAGGTACCAAGGGACAACTGTATTTTAGAACTCAAGAATCTAATAGACCACTTACAGCATCCAGGGTGCAGTTTGATGAAGAAGCTCTACAATTTTAGTCAATATTGGTCAATAGCTATTTTTACAGGAATAGTTATCATCACCTGATGAAGACCACTATGAAGCAGCCCTGAGGAGGACTTAAATTAATCAATTGGCTTTTCATGTTCACTTGTGCATCTGTCCAAAGCCTAGGCTCCTTGTCTGGAAATGGGCAGCAGACTCATAGTAAGTGAGCCTCTGTGAGTCATTAATCCCTACTACAGCCTGTAATGGTAGATGGAACTGGAAAGCCTCAAAGGATAAGACAAGATCACAGCCAAGGACACCTGGATCCATCTCAGCTAGATAAAGACTATAGCCTCAGGCATCTCGCTCCTGGGCAGATTAATTTAATACCTTACTTGGAGAAGTCCTTGAGTAATTCCACCCTTCTTAAATACTCCCCTCCCTTCTTCTGGTAACCAAATAAATACGGGCCACCCGGAGAAAGTCTTAGTCTTAGCCCTGAGAGAATCCCAAATTCTGTGAGAAGGCTTTGATCCTCCTGGAACCCTGAAATCATTCCATTTGCCTCTTTTTATTTAGCCTTCACCACACTTGTTCAGGGAGATTGCAAACCTTAGCAGCCCACAATAACTGAGGATATTATTAATCCGATAATCCCCTGTCCCCCTGCCCAGTACAAGTAGCTATGGGAATGGTGGCTCTTATTCTAAGTTGATAGCAGCATTATTCACAATAGTCAAAATATGTAAACAACTCAGATGTCCATCAGTGAACAAATGGGTAAACAAAATGTAGTCAATCCATGTAACCAAACATTATTCAACCATGAAAAGGAAATAAGTGGATGAGCCTTGAAGATGTCATGGCATGGATGAACCTTAAAAATATTATGCTAAATGAAAAGACCACCTGGTGTATGGTTCCATATACAGTGTGTGAAGTGTTCAGAATAAAGAAATCCACAGAGAACTCTCATAGATGCAAATGCACAGAGCAGATTGTTGCCTGAAAATGAGGGTCTGGGAGGAATGAAAGTGATGGCTAATGAGTGTGGGGTTTTTTCCAGGTAGGAAAATATTCTGGGACTAGATAGCAATGATGTTTGCCCAGTCTTGTGAATACAGTCATCCCCTCAGCATCCTGGAGAACATTTCGTGAGTACCAAAATTGGCAGATGCTCAAATCCCCTACATGCATAGAATTTGCATATATTCTGTCTTAGTTACTTTCCTCATTGCTGAGACAAAATACCTGCCACCCAAAGTTAAAGGAGGAAAAGTTTATTTAGCTAACAGTTGCTACAGATTTCAGTCTATTGTTGGCTGGCTCCAAGGCAGGGTGGCATGGGAGAAGGGCATCGCAGAGGAGAAACAGTCCTTGGCAGGCAAAGGTCAGCAAGAGCAAGTGACTAGCGACAAGCCACAAGCATAGCTCTTTCTTATTCATATTTTTAGTGGGTTGAATGTACAGATTCAGCTCTATGAATATGGGGGAATGGAGGTACAGTAATAAGTGTTCAATTGTGCCCTTGAAAACAAGTGAATTTTGTACAGTATATTTGTATCTCAACAAAGCTGTTTTACTTACTTTTTTTTTTGTACCGGGAATTCAACTTGGGACCTTGTGCTTGCCAGGCAGGCACTGTGATGCTGAGCTATATCCCTGGCCCTACTTACCTTTTTTTTTTTTTTTAAAGCAAAGGCTCAAACTAAGAATCTGAATCTGCCCTCTGCCAGGATCCCTTGGCCCCTGCAATGCCAACTACTGGCTCATTTTAGAAGAAAGATAACCCCCAGGGTCAGAGAATCCTGTGGGAGTCAAGAGTTGGGTCCATCTGAAAGGGGACTGGGTGGAGGTGAGCCCTGGGTATGGAGGGAGGGGCTAGTGTCCTCCAGTTCCCAAGACTGAGCAGATCCAAAACCAGACTTGGGCGTACAGTGAGGGCCCGACTGCCAACACTCCCTTCCCCACTCAGGTGGAGCTGGTCACCAGAACAACCAGGGCTCGCAAGAAGGAAGCACTCCGGAAAGAATTTAGATGGCAAAGGGGCCATCACGCTGCCGGCCAGCCACCCCAAGACCTTTACAGCCCCCCTTGGGCAGACAAGCATGGCTGAGCATGACATTTGAGCTCTGTCTAATTATTCTTCTGCCATGTGCCTCTTGCCTATATTTCCTGAAATATTTGTCTGTCTGCCTGAGTCATGGCTTCCTGCTCTACACATTCTGATTTGTGGCATTTTGCTGCTTGCTCTGTACCTACTTCTACTGATATATGTGCTCTGTCTGCACGCAGAGGAATTCATTCACATTTGTTTAATTTGGGGC